GCTGTTGTTTCTCATTGGAATAAGAAACTAAGAGTAAATAAAAGGCTAATAATCATTTGGGTCTTTCATCAATAACCACCTTGTTGATAGAGTTGGGGACAAACCATGTACATTGCTTGACTTAATACATCAGGGTATAATGAATAAAACTTTCACTGTAGTATAGATGTAAAGACTGCTGTTTTCATATTGTTATGAAAACCACTATTTAGTATTCTATCTGGTGCTTCTGCTCAAATGAATTCTCTCGTTCCTGAGTATCCAGTGCCATGTTGCTGTCTCTCCTGTGGTTATTTCTCAGCATTGTAGAACATGCCATGCTACTTGGAGCTTAATTCCCTACAGCCTGAGAGCATTTCTTATGGGTTAGCTCCCCATCTAATAGCTGAGTTTTACGTTTTAACATATCCTGTCTTTTATATGTCCAGCCCAGAAATCTGTTGCTGGAACTCTTCCTTAAGAGCAAGCATTTCATTGTAGGACATTATATTACTATTTTTACAGTAGTATATAGATATTTATGGATGATTCTTATAAAAACTTCAAAAAAGAACAAAACAAAACCCAGTTCCAAATGTAGCATAAAGACTGATGTAGCCAAATTTGGAGCCTGGGGTGAGGTCGCTGTGAGGATAGTTGGAGATTCTGATTATACTTTATAGGAAATTTGACCTCTTACTATGCTGAACTAGAATGCCAAACATGAAGTTGTGAACATGTAAATAATATTGGCTTAGTTCAAATAAGATACTCACATTCAGAGGATAAGATGAGAAGATGAGTCAACACAGTAAACTGACAGGTTTCATTATCAAATCAAGTAAGAGGGAGTTACCTGAAACTATCATGCTGTGCTCTTGTCATCCATTCCTTGCTGCTGGAACGGCTTTTGCAGCTCTAATGTTTCTTCAGCATTTTTATGGTTCAAGTTAACAAATTAAAATGATAATAATTAATACAAAGATATAGTGATTTGAGACAGATTCTTTCATAGTGTAAACAACATGGAAATAGCCCTTTAAAATTACGGTTTGGTTCATAGAATTATCATTTGTTTTGTCAATTTATTAAACGTAATTTTCTCAAATTTCTAGGAGATAACTATTATTACTTAACTTTTCAACGTAAGGAAAGAATACTAGTGCTAAAAGTAACTTTTAAGTGCCGTATAATGAATAAAAAGAACAGGTAGAATCTAAAAGCTAAGTCTTCAATTTCTTATTTACAGTTTGTATTGATCTGAGAGTTACCCACAATGTCCTGAATCCATAAGAAGCAAACTTCACAGTTTAGTCTTTTCAAAACAAATTATTTTAAAGATCAATATCACATTCTAAATGACTTATCCAGAATTTATTTTAGTAATGAGGTCTAGTGTGTTCTATGGTTTAGCATACAAAATAGGTATTGATTTCACACATTTTATACATGTATATTTATTTACAAAACAACTTACCCCAGGGAGTACAGGGGCAGGCATTTTCACGTCAGTAAAATATTGAATTAATGAATTTTTGAATAAAATCGTTTTTCACTTCACAACCACGAGGAAGGCTATAATCAAAAAGAGACAATGATTAGTTTTGATAAAGATGTGGAGAAGCTGCCATCCTCATAATTGCTTGTGGGAATGCGAAATAGTCCAACCACATTGAAAAGCAGTTTGGCAGTTCCTCAAAAGGTTAAAAAAAAAAAAAAGTGGCCATATGATTTAGCAGTTCTTTTCCAAGGTGTATAACTAAGAGAAATGAAAACATGTTTACACAGAAACTTCTACATAAATGTTTATAGCAGCATTCTTCGTAGTTGCCAAAAAGCGGAAATATGTCTATCAACTGATGAACGGATAAACAAAATGTGGTATAGCCATGCGATGGGATATTATTCAGCCATAAAACATAATGATTCTTGCTACAACATGGATGAACCTTGAAAACATCAAAAGGCCACATATTGTATGATTCTGTTATGAAATACCCAGAGTAAACAAATCCATAGAGACAAAAAGTAGATTCATGGTTGCCAAGACCTGGGGGGTTCGAGTGGGGTAAGGAATGAATGGCTGCTAAATGGTCATGGGGTTTCTTTTTAGGGTGATGGAAGTGTTTTGTAATTAGATTGTGGTAATGCACAACTTTTGAATATACTAAAAAAGTGAATTGCACACTTTAAGTGGATGAACTTTATGGTATGTGTATTATGTCATTAAAAAATTTATCAGTCGGGTTCTCCTCCCAGCTCTCCAATTAACTAGCTGTGGGATCTTGAGCAAGTTACTGGACTTCTCCTTATCTCAGTTTCCTTACTTATATATCAGAAAGGTTAATGAAGAACTGTGATGGGCCGGCCCAGTGGCACGTTGGTTAAGAGCTGTCTTGGGACGCCAGAGGGCCCCGGTTCAGATCCCACATATGAGGGCCAGTGACACTGCCCTCTACAGCTAAGATGCTGAACAACAGCTCAACCTGGAGCTGGGCTGCCGTGAGGCGCCGGCGACGGCGTAGGCTGCAGCCCCTGTGGCAGTGGGTTGCCACAGGCTACCGTATGTAGCCAGCAGCCAGTGTGAGCGGCCAGCAGCCGCAGTGAGCTGCCATCCAGAAGCTGGCGACTGATCTGCCTCGCCCAGGAAGAGCGCAATGATGGTGCCAACTTGGGCCAGTGAAGCAACGTCCTCCACAGCTAGACTGAAGAACAAAAGGACAGCAACTTGTCTGTCCCCCTTCCCCCAATTCCCCAACACTGTTCCAATCCCCCAATTCCCCAGTAAAAATCTTTGGAAAATAAAAAAAGAACAGTGAGAGTTGAGTGAGGTACCATATGTCAAGCAACTGGTATGGTATCTGGCACATGGGATATTTCATCTCCCTTACTCACTTAGAGGGCCCTCTCCCTCCTTCCCCAATAACATATATTTCTTTACTCATGTGAGTGTGATCTTGTCTCTTTCGTTGAAGTATCTTGATATTCTGGGGTCTCGGGCAGGGCTAAAAAAAAAAAAATTATCAGTGTTTACTTGTCCATGTAAAAAGGTATTTTTATAGGTAACTACAATATTGCCACAGGGATATGAAAGACAGTTCAGGGAATATAATTAATAGTGTTGTAAATATTTTGTAGGGTGTCAGATGGTCACATGTCTTGTTAGGGAGACCACTTCATGGATGGGGTAGAGGCTTGATCACTGCACTGTACACCTGAAGCTGATGTTGTATAATATTGTATGTCATATATAATTAAATATATATATATATATATAGTCATGAGATATGGAGTATAGTGTGGGAATGGAGTCAATGGAATTGTAATAGATATGTATGATGGGGGGAGTGGGGAGTGGGGCGGCGGATTGGGGGAGGGAGGTTGTCACTTTGAGGGGTAAAAAGTATAACTATTGTACTGTGTTGTACAGCTGAAACTAATTAAATAATGTTTATTTCACAATAAAAATAAATTACTGAAAAAAATGCAAAGTATTTTTTAAATAAAATTGTAAGAATATATTTTATATATTCTTATATTTACATATAAGCTGACATTCACCTTAGAGCTTTGCTATATATTAAGTAACGTGTATGGAAATGAATGGAACTTCCACCAATATGAATGTGAGATACTTTTACCAAAGATAGAGTGCCGAGACCTAAGTTGTCTATAGCAAATATCGAATGCCTATCTTCTGTGATTACACTTTGAAAGGTATTGTTATTGTCGCTTACAAGAGTGAAATGACCTTTAAAAAACATTGGAAAGTTTATCTGACCTCAGAAATGTCAATTAAGAATATTGCTGTAGAGTCAAATATAGTTGGATTTGAGACTGTGCCTAAAATATACTAAGAGCTTCTTCCTGTAAAAGATATTATTTGATATCTCTGAGCCTCAGGTTCCTCATCTGCAAAATACCTAATGGATTGTTGCAAGGATTTCATGACGTACCATAAATAAAACGAACTGTACTCTCTGTTTCCTTGCCCTACACATACTTTGTTTCTTTTTCCTAGAACACTTCTCACCCCATACCACCACCTCCTCCCCCCTCCAATACAAACCAGGCTAGGTCTGTTCCTGTATGTCCCAGTTGAACCCCAGGATTACCCTAATGAAGCCTTTAGCCGACTCTATTGATACACTTCATGTTTATTTGCCTGGCTTTGCCCAGAAACCTTAAGTTCTTTAAGTGGGAAAAAAACCGTTTGTCTACCACTGCATACACATTTACCCAGCATATTGACTAGCTCAATAAATATTTGAATAAATTATTTTTACTAACATATCTAGCATTATATTGGCTTCATATAATAGCTCCCTGAAAAGGTATAATGCATCTGTATTTTGCTATTAGAACATAGTCAACCTGAAGCATTTTTAAATGTGTAATGTGTGGTGATTTATATGTTCAATGGAAATGTTTTGATTACTAGTTATACGTATGGAATGAAGAGAATGTTCCTTATCTGTGTTATACTGGACTACTTGTAGTTATATATTTATCTTTGTAATTTGTACAGTATGTTTTCTTGTAATATCCAAATATATATACTTACTAAAAATTTTATTTTACAAGTGTCTCAAGAATTTGCAGTTTAATATGCATATTTTATGCCGTTGTTCTTCATCTGAGATTAGACTTAGAATGATATAGCAAGGTTGGAAACAATGCTGTAGATTTAAGAAGGCTTGCGAAATATATAGAAATGAAATCATTTCAAGCAACATAACTGCAATTTGCTCTTACCATATTTTATTTTAAAAACCTTACAAAATAATAATAATAGGCAATTATTTTGTATGAAGTAAATGAAAATAAGGAAGCAATAAAGGACTTTTCACTGGTATGCTTTGTTCTCTAGACAGCATATTTCCATATAAACACCTATCTAAATTATTTACAAAAGCTTTGCTGAATATATAAGTTGGGTGTGGAAGATAGAAGTAATGTTTATATTTATATAAATCATCAAATCATTTCTGTAAAGTCTCAAAACTAGTCTGTTCTTTCAGGTACAGAGAACTTCAACTTAGTACAGAAAGCCAAATAACCGAACTTCTCCATCAAAGTAAATTTAAATCTTTTGAAAGTGAACGTGTTCAACTTATACAAGAGGAAACTGCAAGAAATCTCACACAGTGTCAGTTGGAATGTGAAAAATACCAGAAAAAATTGGAGGTACATGTACAAACTTTTCTTTTAAAATTAGCATAGCACGTGAGCTCCATAAGTACAAAGCCTATATCACATTGAGCTTTATAAATAATATTTGGGTTATGTATGAGAAAGGGCCTGTGTCCTTACCTTTAAAAGACCTCTTAACAATAGGACATACCTTCCTCTTCTAGATAAATAGGTGGAAGGAAGAAATGGACTGTTTCCAAGAAAAGAAAAGGAAATTGCTAAGAAATAAATGAAAATAATGGTGTCAGACAGGTACTGGATTTATTGGGTGATCATGTCATAAGTTTATATAAATGTCTAATCACTGTTTATACACTGTTTACAACTAATATAATATTGTATGTCAACTGTAATTGAAAAATTAAAAAATATTTTAAAAATTAGAAAAATTTTTAATTAAAAAAAATGAAAATGTGTTCTTCCTAATAATTAAAGAAATGTAAATTTAAACTTTTTTTACCTTTGTATAAGTCTATCTGTTGTTTTCAAAATGCTGTCAAGAGGACCCTTATGTGGGAAATCTCATGCAGCCAGAAATGGACTATCCCTTCTGGAGAACAGTATGGTGTAATCTATGTTAACATCCTTGAAAAATTGATCCAGTAATCTTAGTTAAAGGAATTTTCCTTAAAGAAATAATAAGAGATGCTTATAAAGGTTTATATTAATGGTATACATCACAGCAAAAAAATTTTTAATTAGCATAAATTATATATTTTGCTGTATTCATGCATTGTATGATTATATGCAGTCATGTTCCTAAATATTTTAGATTTGGAGGAAATGCTCATTAAAAACATTGAATGAAGATTCAGTAATCTCATTAGCATCATTAATTAATTAGCTAATGATGTATTCATTATAATATCTCAGAGATTACATTTCTAAAAAGTACTTTGATAAGTAAAACTAAGATTAACAAAATAAAGGGTCTCACAAAAAATATAGCCTTAGGGAAAAACATAAAAATGATATTAAACACATACGTATTTAAAGAAGCATAAGTAAAAATTGTAGATGGGGTCTACTTCTAAAACCAGTGTTCAGCATTTACAGCTTTTTCAGATACATTTCCGGAAACCGATGCAGCCATAATCTACTCCAACATACTCGCCCACACATTTTCCATCAGACTGTATTAGATGAGCTGATTTGGAATTTCGTCTATTGCAAGTTATATTTTCCATGATTTACATTTCATAATTCCTAGCAAAATGCCTTTCCTTTTCACATTGGATGGCTGTGCTTAAGGAAGTGTCTTGGAACAGAGTCGCGAGGGGTGTTATATATACGAAAAAAGAGAGCACTTTCTTTCTCTCTATACTTCTGAAACAAACATTTCACTAAACAATACTTTACAGCATACAGTGCTGATGTTTTCTAAACCATTCTATTTTGTTATTTTTAGCTGGTTGCAATCCAAATTGATTTCATGACCTTGTAAAGTTGTAACTTGCAGTACGAAAACCATCCTCCCATAGACCTATTCACTTGGTCAGTGGATGCCTGTGACTGGTAATTATTAGTGTAAATGTGTTACATGCGGAAACACCTTTGTAAAAAATAATTGTGATTCTTAACACTCTGGTTGATGAAACTGAGACATTAGGGGGATTTTTTTACATTTCCTTCTCTGTTAAAACTAAGAGCTTTGGTAGAACATTTGTCATTGTGTCAGCAGTGTCTAACACAGTGCTTTGATCATGGTGGATGCTCAGTAAATATTTAATGAGTAAATGAATGGTTTGATGAATGCTAATATAGTACCTTTATTTGAACCCATTTTTCTGAAATACTGAAAGGTGTTTCTAAGACAATTTTTTTTCTTTATAATTAACTTTTTTATTATTAGTTTCAGGTGTACAAAACAACATAGTCATTAGATATTTACACCCCTCACAAAGTGATAACCCCAATAAGTCTACTCTCCACCTGACACTTAAGTAGCACATAGCTACATAGCTACTTAAGACAATAAAAATGAATTTAGAGAGAAATAATTTTATACACGTTAATGATTATTGTAATTACTATGTACTTTTCTGTGGCTTTTACCCAGTATTCTCATTGATTTATAACTTGGGGACAACTTATTTTTTCTTAATTATCAATTGGCAAAGGCCCTCCAAAAACTGGCTTTTTATATTTTTGTCTTCTTAAAGCGATTATTGATTTGTAGTTTTGTGTTATATGAATTTTATGTAATTTTGTATTATCATGTTATTTAAAGGAAGGACCTATCCACTGAGAGCTTGATATTTAATGGATTCCTAAAATCAATTGACCTATTGTATACATTCATGTTTAAACTCATGTTATATATTGGTTTTTCCTAAAGAATTTTTACTGTAGTAGCCTTCCATAGATCTAATAGTCAAATTTTGTTTTGGCTTTTCAGAAACAGTAGTATATTTTGTATAGCAACCACTCAGGCAAATCCATAGTAAAAAGGAACTCACCATGGGGTACAGAGGTGTGGGAAGAGGCTCCAAATCAGAAGCTTCTGGGGATCTCTCCTCTGTGTTATGAAGAGAGAATTTAAATTGTACTTCTCCAATTGGTACTGCTTTTTAAAATGTCTTCTTAAAATAATGTTTAATGAAATATCCCATCTTTAACATTTTGATTCTTTAGCTATCCATCTGCAGTTTTTGTTTGTGTGGAGTTTTTGTTGGGGGAAGTGGGATACAGGTGAAAAGCATCAGCTTTTCTGTGGGAATAGCTGCTGAACTCTATGTCTTCGGATCCTCTCTTTTGACAGTGGAATCAGTAAATGTCATCAGCAGCCAGATTCTTAATAAATTACACTCCAATATAATGGATTCTATGAAAGCCCCAGATTATCCCACTGTGCAGTGATTTCGTTATAATAAATTAATAAGTCTCTAGAAAACACATTCCCAGCCGGCAAGAAGAAACGATGCTTACCCATGAATTTTCTTTTTTCTGACCCAATCAGGGACACTAGAAATCATCCTACAAATATTATTCCCATGTTATTATTTCTCCACCCTCCAAAGGAATATATTTGGATGGTGGGGGGATAATGTTTCGTTTAGTTTACTTTGGGGGGAAATTTTAATGGAAATAATTTGAGGAAATGAAATGGAGTAGATAAAAATTAAATCATAATTTCTCCTTGTTAAAAACTAAATAGATCTCCCTCTTCTTTTCCCCCCTCACAGAAAGCACACAGTCACATATATTTAAGGCGAGCTTTACGTCATTAGAGAAAATAGGTTTTCTTCAAAATTGTTTCATTATAGAGAATTCATGATGATTAAATCTGTATGTTTCTATTTCTTTGAGACATTTAATACAAAGTTTTCATAATTGTATTTCTTACAGTAGTAATAGTATTTTTCAACACTTATTATGTTTTGTGCACTCTGCCAAGCACTGTGAATGTATCATCTCATTGAATACTCCAACAATATTTTGAGGCAGACCTAGAAAGAATAAGCAATTGCCTAAGGTCACAGCTAGTTAGTACCAAAGCCGGAACTGAAATCCAGATCTTTCTGGCTCCAAACCATATTTTTAACTGTAACATTCTGTTGCTTCTCACGAAACACTACATCTTATGCTGTGTGTTAGGAAGCAAGTGTAATACCACTCCATAATTTAGTCTGTACTAGTAAGTAAACTTTCTAGATAATTGGAATTTAATTTAAGCATTAAAACATTTCTTTGTCACTGGAAATGTCTCCTTTTTGAGTGAATTCATTATCATATAGTGATTCCTTCAGTGAGTAACCATTGAACAATACAGGATTTTTTGTCCTTACACAAAATAACTCCAATTTCCATGCCTTCTGTATCACTTTTGATAGTTTTTTGAATCCTTTTTTTCCTATACACAGATATTTTCTGGTACTGACCCAAGTAGCACTTTACATTTGCATTTAGATTGTTGCTTTGAGCTTATGCTTGTTCAGAAAGGCAGAAATTTTATTAAAAACTTGGTAAGGTTAGATGAAATAAGCTCTGATGGAAAACTGAAGGACTCATTATGAGTATATCGTTTTTACACACAGCTTTATAAGCCTTCCTCTGATAGCTACAATCACCAGATAAATGAGCTGCAAGTAAGTATGGCATTAGTGCATTATTTGATTTCTAACAAGCAAACGCTAATCTTACTCCTACTCCTATAAATATTTTTAAGTTTTAAATTTGTTTTTTATTCAATGTATTAATAAAATGCTTTGTAATTTTCATTTCAAAACAACTGAGTTGTTTTTCTTAGAAATAAATATATTTTATCATCTCAATCATCTCAGTTGAGCTATTTCATCTTCATAACTAAATTATTAAAAAGAGAAAAAAACTAAAAATATTTTTGTATCACGTTTTTGTCTTAACTGTTAATGTATTTAATTCTGCCTTTGGAATTTTTTTTTTCTTTCGCTATTAGGTTTTAACTAAAGAATTTTATAGTCTCCAAGCCTCTTCTGAAAAACGCATTACTGAACTTCAAGCACAGAACTCTGAGCATCAGGCAAGGCTAGACATTTATGAGAAATTGGAAAAAGAGCTTGATGAAATAATAATGCAAACTGCAGAAAGTAAGCCTCCCACCACCCTCGCGTACACACAGATTTGTATTTCTGGCAGCATAAGGAACCTGGTATCGTTTCTAAAACTGCTTTGGTATATTTCTTTCAAATATAATTCTTGACTTCTTTTAACAGACTATTTTATATTTTAAAAATTAGTCTTAATTCCAGGAACTCCAATTGATAAAAAAACAATAGGTTAACTATGTTAGATTTGATCTTTTCATTTGTTTAGTTCACTCACTCAACAATTATTAAGTGTTTACATATGCCAGGATCTGGGGATATGGAGTTCATGCAATAATGCTTGCTTATAGGGGTTCCTAGTCTAGTCTACTGGGAGAGACAAACATATTAACAGATAATTAAAGTAGTGAACTAAGTGCTATTAGAGAGAGATAGGCAGTTCTTGGTGAAAGTACAGATGAGATCCTGAATTAATTCAACCTTGGAGGTGAGGAATACGTATTGTAAGAGGGGAGATGACATTTGAATAAGTCTTGAAGGACAGATAAAAATTCTTTGAAACTACTATGTTATAATCTTTGACCTTTAATTTCTTCTTTTTTCCCCCTTCTTCTTATGCTCTCTTCCTGTGTTGTCCCTGACTCTATGGGAATATTTTAAATTAACATCTTACTATTGACTATGATGTTTGCTCCAGTACGTTATTTTTGTTCAAAAGTCATAAATAACAGTGGCATTCTTATAAAAGTGGGTTTAAACTTCAATTGAAGTTAAATTTGAATCTATTTTGGGAACATTTTCTTTTAAGGACTATATTATATTTATAGGCAAATTTAAGAAAAACTTTTATTTCATTCCTATCATTTTTTCCATTTCCAAGGTCAATGATAATTGTAATAGTTTCCAAATTTACCTTTAGTTTCCTCACTGGAGTCAGAGTAATCTTGATAAAATATGGGTTTGATCATACCATACACCTGCTCTAATGCCTCTCTATCGTCTTAAGAAAGCTGAAAGTCAAATTCCTTAGCATGACTTTTTATGATTAGACTCATTTATCTTTCTACTTTTCATGCCTTACCATTTCTTATCATATATTATTTTAAAAGTTCCATACTCTTTCTTACCTCTATATCTTTGCGTATGTCCTTCTGTCGAAAAAAATTAAAAGGGAATTTCCTCAATCTGATAAAGGATATCTATCAAAAAACCTATAGCTAATAATCATACCTAATGATAAAATATTAAATGCATTCCCTTTAAGAAAGAGAACAAGGCAAAGATTTATATTTTCGTAACTTATATTAGACATTGTTTTTGAGCTCCTAGCTAGTAAAATAAGTCAGAAAGAAAAAAAACAGGTATAAAGATAAAAAAGGAAGAGTAAGAATGTATTTTCAAATTAAAAAGCAATCACTTAACACTGATAAGTAAATTTGACATGTATACTTAAGATTTGTACCTTTTACTACATATAAATTTTATTTTTTTAAAAAGCTGTAAATAAATATTGAATTATAGTTGATGATTTTCATGTTGAACTGTTGAGGGTTGAAGGGCAAATGTCTACAACGTACTTTGAAATGCATCCAAAAAAATAAGATAGATTTATGGTGGATTTGGGGGTGGAAAGATGAGTGATAAATCAATATAGTAGTGTTTAATTTAGAATCCAGATAGGGGGCATATGGGTGTACACTGTACACCTTTTTCAACTTTTCTCTATGTATAAATATTTTCTTAACAAAATCTTTATAAAGAATACAGAAATTAATTTTTTGCTATGATATTATATAATTCTTCTTAAAACCATCTCAGACTAAAATATATTTACTTGTACTTGGAAGATCAAGAAGCTAGGTTTTTTCTCTATCCGTGCATATTGGAAATTAGAATATTCTTTTTCTTATTTAATGAATACTTAATGATTAACCGAAATTTTAAAGATGTAAGCACAGAACATTCTTGTAGTACCACATTGTGTACAATATTTAAGGGATTATCATCTAATTTCAACTAACATATAAAGATGGTTGGACTTCATTTTTTAAGGTGTAACCGTAGCAAATCAGAGTCTCCTGTTTACGCTTGGATTGCTTTTTGGAATCCTAAGTGTGTTATTTGGATATTTGAGGAGTTTAGTTTTCAAATACCTCATCAAGGTGTTAAAAGTACAAGTATTGCCTAGAAACTAAATTCAAATATAAAGTGAAAATCGGATTTCTTGTTGTCCTCTGTCCATCTTCACCCTACTTGTAACCTTTACTAGGCATTTATCACGTTTCTCAAAACTCTTCTCTGGCTCCTTGAATCACCTGCCTCTGATTGTTTTTCTACATCGCTTTTGGTTTTTTTTCCTTCTGTCTAACTCTAATGCTTCCCAGGGGGTGTTCCCCTCATCCTCTTCAGTTCTTACTTACTGGTACTTACCTACTTTCTGGATAATCTTATCCCTTTTTACAATTTCAATTACTATCTATAGGCTAGAGATTACACAGGTTTGTATAGAGTTCCTGCAGTTATTGAACATCTAACATTATTTATATTTTCTCTTCTCCCTGAAACTTACTCATTTTCTTGTATTCTTAATCTGTCTAAATACCCAACTAGTTTTTGTCAGAATTGATTCCTCCCTCATTCTATCTAGTGCCTCATCTCATCTCCACATGTGTTCAGTTGTCTAGAATCCAAGTTCTTTTCTCCATCCTCTGTTGCTATTATGAACCATCTCTCAACTGGTTATTACTATAACTTGTGAAGATTTCTCTGTGCTGCAAATCTAGGCCATGCTTTCCCCATTATTGGAATTTTTTTTCTATAATATCAGCATCGACAACAAAAATCTATTGGTCATATCAACGACCTGCATTAATTTCTTGTTGACTATAGAATAACACCCGAACTCCTTAGCCTAGCAAACAAGTCCCATTCACAGTTAGAACTAAACCTACCTTTCTACTACCACTGTACCCCAGATTAACTCCAGCCCCTTTTCTCACAACTACTAAAACTTCACAGCTCTCTGTCTTTTTTTGTCTTTTTTATTGTTAGTTTCAGGTGTACAGAACAATGCAATAGTTATCCTTTTCACCCTTCACACAGAAGCAACCCCCCTCTGCCATCTACTGCCCTCCCACCCCAGATATCATACTTCTCTATTACAATTCCATTGACTCCATTCCCACACTCTACTCCACGTCCTGTGACTATATGTATATATAATTATAGTTGACATACAATGTTATTCAACATCAGCTTCAGAAATACAGTGTGGTGGTCAGGCCTCTACACCAACTATGAAGTGGTCTCCCCCACTAGACATGAGTCCAACTGGCCCCCTGAAAAATATTTACAACGTTATTATTATATTCCCCAGACTGTAATTACTATCACTGAGGCCACATTGCAGTTACCAATTTGTATTGTCTCGTCCCTTCCCCTTCTCCTTCATCCCCACCCCCTCCCAACTAGCAACCCTCAGTTTTTCCTCTGTCTCTGAGACTACTTCTGTTTACATTTCCCATTTATTCAGTTTTTTGCAGCTCCGTGTCTTTACATATGCAATTCCCTCCTGCACTTTCTCAGCACACTGTCTGGGAGATGAATGTCTATGTCCCCACACTTTCCTAATGCCTCTAGCACAGGAAAAACAGTGGCACTCACTAACAATTGTTCTGTGCTCTGTCCTTCTAAGACACAGTCATATCTTTTTAGTACCTTTTACCATGTTTTATAATACATTGTTTCTGTAATTAAATCACCACTAGAATAGTTAACACATGAGTTATTAATCCGGTAAGTATTAAACTCAAATTTAAGATATCCATCAATGTCTAACTGATGGGTTTTCTAAGATGTTAACTAAATATATCTCTTTCCCTTCTGAATTTAGAACTATCTAAGAGAGACAAGAGTCAGATAGGTACCTAACTGCCAGCTCTAGTTCTGATAGAGCTGAATTGGAGAACCCAACTTGGATCTGAAGCCACGACATCTGATAACACTATTGCCAATGGCATACATCACCTCTGGCTTCTACATGGCCCTCACTACTAATATTCTACCTCTGAAAACTAGTCTTGCTTCCACATGAAAAATAGGGTCAAAATTGAAGGAAAACACTTAGGAATATTCCTAAACTTTTTACTGCACTACAAAAGGATTAATCAACAAATAAATGTGTATTACAGTGATAGGACTGCCAATAGCTTCATTTATTAATATAAAATGTGGCTTTGTTTTAAATCTGAACACTCCTAAAAGTAGGTTTCTCTTTGACATTAAAATAATGTTGATGAATAATATTACAAAATTATGTCATCAACTGCTTTTATTTGAGCTAGTAAATCATTTTTATGACCTTTGATTAAATATTTTTTAATCCCAGCTTATAGTAAAATTGTCATTGTATTTAAACTTTTTACTCATAAAATATTAACATGTTAAAATTCCTTTGGTGAAGTTGTGTAACAATAGCAAAATTTAGAACTACTGGTTTTGCTGAATTTTTTTTTCTTGTAATTTAAAAAAAGCCATCAATATATTTTTAGTACCGCACATTTTCTTGACAGAGGAGCCTACTTAAATGTTTATTTTATTATTGCAAGTTAAGATAATGTTGATAAAATAGTGGACATCTTTCCTAATTAAAAATAACCATTTGTTTATCAAGAAGGGAAGTAATGAAATTGGTGTTATAATTACTTTTTCACAATTATATAACATATATTTAATGCAAAAAGCCTTTGAATCATTTAGAATAAAACATCTGTATTATTGTGTTTTATAACAAGAAAACTTAATGTGTCATATGATGAAATCCATTACACCTTTTAAAAATAAATGGAACAAATCCAAGCAAGCATATGTAAGTAGAAATATGTTTCTACTTACAAATGGCCTGTTTGAGATTACACATTAGCCCTTTTTAATGTTCTTATGCTCCTTGTTCATTATTATGACCTCTTTTATTTTCACTTCTGCCATGATTCTTAAGAAAAAAAGTTATTTCACATCACATTTTAATATTTTCCAGTTGAAAATGAAGATGAGGCTGAAAGGGTTCTTTTTTCCTATGGTTATGGTGCTAATGTTCCCACAACAGCCAAAAGACGACTAAAGCAAAGGTAAAATCAATATATATTTGTGTTACTTATCTATTCTAGCTAAATGTAATTATTACGTTACACTTTTTGATAGTGTGCTGAGTTGCATGACAAAGTAAAGTTACTTTAGTCTTAGTATGCATTAATAATAAATTGCTCACCAAATAAAACATAGCAAGTAATAATCATGCATTTCATGTTTTTAAGTGAATTTAATTGTCAGTAGAATAGAAGCATACATTAGAATTTTCCTATAATTCGATTCAGTGATAATGACACAATTTTAATTTTATTTTCACGTTAATTTCTCGTGAGTTACAAATGCTTTTGTACCAATAATTTTAGGTTAATATTCATTAATTATACTTCCTTTTTTCCTCTTGTTTTTTATTCACCTGCCTACATCCCTTGACATACTTGAGAGAGCAAAAGAGAAAACAAGAGAGATGGTGATAGTGTACATATAGTGACTGAAAGTATAAAAAACTGTGAAAACCCAAGAAAATTTTTTGAAAGATCCACTAGTTATTGTGTGAGATACTGCTTAAAGTACAGAGAGAAAATTGTACCTATGTTAATAGGTTTTCTAGTTGACCTGACTCTTAATTCCGTTAGCCCACCTAAATTCACCCTGCTTTGCAAAAACATCTCACTGCCCAATTCGCTAACATATCAATTGTGTTTCCATCAGACTTGCAAGCTCTTTCATGTGGCCCCACCTCTCCAGCCTTACTTGCCTCTTTATGCAAAATAAGGGTAGAATATGTCTCTGCCTATAAACATCTGTTTTCTTCATACTATACAAGAGAGCATTTCTCGGATCTCATTAGCTCTCATTTTCCATTGTATTCCTTCAGCTAGATGAAAAGTTCTTCAAGGCCAGCAACTACATCTTATTCTTGTTTATTTCCACTGTCTCTACCTAGTAGATACCTAGTAGAATCATCTCTTCATCTGAGTATTTGAGAACTCAGAGCTGCTTGGTATCTTTTATTTTTATATGAGTTGATTTAAATATTTAGAGATATTACACACTAAGTAAGAAAAGCAATCCATCTTAACACAATTGTTTTTGTAGAAATTTTGAAATGGTGGCTCAGAGAATGAAATGTCTTCATGGCTACTCAAAGTGATGTAAGATAACGTCCCATTCTATGAGAAGTTAAAAAGAAGTTTGGAAGTTGTGTTTCATACTCATTAAATTAAATATCTGGAAAATTTTAGATCAAGGATAGATTACTAGCAAATGTCAATTTTTAGCTGGAATAGTTAATTCTGGTAAAGACACAAGTACTCTAAATTATGTATTATTTGACAAATCAGTTTTAGTCCCATCCCATTCCCATTCTTTTCAAGTCCCTCCAAAAGTCACGAAAGGTGATGAGGTTTTTTTGTAATTTTCAGCATATCTGTTTTTGAGCATTACGTTGCCTAGGGAGGAATAGAAACATAGTTTTGTGGACAAGTAACTTCTTTATCAGTGGTAAATGATCGCTAAATTACTAAGTAATTGAAATTTTCTATTTTCTTCTCTATTTTTGCATCTGCATCCTTCAGAAAAATCTTGTCACAAGAAAAAAAAATTTGCTATTGTAAGCTTTCTCTCTTTAACCCAAATACTGAATTCCTCCAAAATTGAAAGCAATTATTGCTTATTTTTTTAAGAATTTCCAAAACAGATATTGATTTCTTAAAATTTAGAGTGAAGAATTAAGAAACCACAACTGATTCATATTCCAAATAATCGTAACTGTCCAAATATTTCTGAAGATTTTATCACTGAGCTATCTGTGTGCCTTGAACAAGTGCCTAATGGGCATGCTATTAATATCTCCTACCAGCTGGTGCCAGGCATTCTTCTCATGGTGAACCAGAGGGTTATTTTGAGGAAGTGCTTCTCAGGTCATCTAAACTAAGTGTAGGCAAAGTAAGTCTAGATATCCAAAGAGGACATTTATGCATTCTTTTGCCCATTCATTCAACAACTTTTATTGAGTGCCTACTGTCTGCCCAAATCTGACTAGTGCCACAGAAGATCCCTCTTTAGGATCTGATGCATTTCTGATGTTCGCAAAATCCATATTGGATTTTGTAATGGATGTTTGTAAAGAAGTCAATGGCTTTGTGCTCTAAGTTTAATTTATTTAACAGGAAAACAATTTAGCCTTTGAGAGAATCGATACTTAATTTTTCACATTTGAAATTAAAGCAAAAAAAACTTAAGGTGAATTATAAAAACTCAAAACAGCAAATGAAATAGTTGCATAATAAAGTTTTCATTAAACATCACCCTGTACCAAAATACATCAAAATTTCAAAGGAATTTATTTCCCAGCTACTACGCAACATATTCTATTCATACTAAATTTGATTTAAAATCTCATATATTCAACAATCAGATTTAGGTATTTTAGGGTAATATTTCATTGGAGGGGATTTCTGATTATAAAAGTAATACATGTTTATTTTAGAAAATTAGGAAAATTGCTGGTAATCCTACCTTCCAAGGAAACAATTCAAAAATGTATACAGATATATATTTTTTCTTACATATTTAGGGTACTGTATGTAATTTCAAAATTTAATTTTTTATCTTACAATTCTACTCTGAACATTTTCTTATGTCATTGAGTAGTCTTCAAGAAGATAATTTTTTTTTGTTTATCCAAAACTTTAACTTTTAGGCCTTCTGTTTTTGAGTGCCATATTGTTGTTAATCAGTTTGATAGCCACTAAAATGTTTCATTAGTTGCCTATTGCTACCCAAGGTATATTATGAAATTAAAATGAGAAAATAGATACAAAGTTTACACAGAGTACCTGGCATGGAGTTCAATACATGTTAGTTTGTTATGCCAATTTATGTTTCTTAAAGTAAATTGCGGTTGATTTTGAGAGCAATAGCCAGTTTTCCAAAAGCTTTAACTAGGCACAATTTGAGTTTTCATTTAAAACAATTTTGTTTTAAAATTTTAATGAGACTCCTTGAAATAATTACTAGAGACACCCCCTGGACATGAAACTAGTTTTGAAATTCACTTTCTTTGATATCAATCAGTTTCCTAAGATATATACTATAATGCCAATTTCCTGTAAAGAAGTAGCAAAATTAATTTTTCAAAATTAATTTTAAAAATAACTCCCCAAAATGCCTCTTACACACATTAGTAAATAAGGTTACTCGCCTTTTGAACTTTGAAAGACATATGAACAATAACTAAATATTATGTTAAACTCTTTCTGGGACAAAGTTGCGGAAAGTTAAAAGGGCTTATACAATTAAAGTATATTAAAATAAAATGGGCCCTTCTTGACTTGACTAAACTTGAAAACCTGAAGCAATGTTTTTGTTTCGGTCATGATTGTTTTGAAAATAGCAAACAAGATTTTCTGGTTACATGTTTTGGTAATGCTCTTTAAACCTGCAACACGAAATCGGTAACACCCAGGCACTAACGTGGTCTTCGAGTGTGCTTCTCTGTTTGTTTTGGCATTTCTGAATGCAGAGACTCCTCTTGAAGGTTTTAAAACCTTTCAAATTGCAAGATTTACTGCATACTATAGACCTTTTGTTTGGGTTTCTGTCTAGAGCTTTAAGTTGAATCTTTCACAATAGATTGTAATAAGGGAAAAAATAAAGCTGAGGAAACTTTTGTTTCCTCTAGCAAACTTTTGTGCATAACAAAAAGTTTTTTTTTTCTTTTATTCTCATATGTATGAGTTCTCATTTTTGTCCTTAAGGAAAGTTGTGCTTATGTCATTTGAGTTGGTTTTAGGAATAGTCCTTTAAAAGTTAATGCTAATCTTTTCATTACCCACTTGAAAGTTCAAACCTATCGAGGAAGATAGAGAAAGTCTTATATAACTGTAGATAATCAGCATGAGACCACTATTTATTCCTCAATAACTGCCAACAGAGCAGGCAGGACAGGGACCAACCTGAAGTGTTCTGAAGCTAGAGTCGTTCTGACACGTGTCCCTTTTTTGAACCGTTTTTTATGTCATGATAATAAGAGACAGAATTGTGACCTGCTAAAATTGAAAAAGATCAGAAAGCCCAGTGTTATTTCATACTAAGTAACGAATTAGTAAGTATGTAAATAATACTTAGACTTATTTGGAGTTTTGGTAATACTAAGAGAACCATTGAAGGACTGGGGACAGCATCAATCCTCCATTGTGCTTTGACATCTCAGACTTAAATAGAGGCCTGCCATGTTCTCAGTGGCTGGGTTACATTATTATGGAATTGTATGGAGTAATCAGATGTACTGACTGCCATTGGTAGATCCAAGAGAATAACTTTTATTTGGAGTCAAGTGATGAGACAGCTAAGAGATAACCCTTATTGGAGCAATTTTACCAGTTAACAGGTTAAATTTTATTTAATATTTAAACACAAAACCATACTCTGTACTATTAGTTTCAGTTGATGTCAATCTTAATGTTAGTACAGATAAAAATTGCATGGCAATTAATATAATTACAAAGAATTGTGTTATACCTACTTTAGTGTCTTAACAGATAACCTATAGAAGCAGTGCTTACTTGAGTTTAGTACATTCTATACAAAAAAGTAAGTAAATAAATAACCTTTAGAAGGAGTCATTTTCCCTGGGTGTATCCATAGTTACTCATTATAAAGAATCGGAAAGGACTTGTTTTCATTGTATATGCATTGTAGCTAAGGAAACACAAACAGCTTATAGGTGAGCAACTCTTCGTTTGTCTTGATATAAATTTCATTGAAACAAAACACCCCTCCTCTCTTCTGATTTTTAATATCCCAGATTTCTAAACAGAATCCACCTACAGCACCAAATCACTCACCACAACAATATGCCACACTTAAAAATTTAGCAGGTTGTTAAAAATAATAATAATAAAATAAAATAAAGATTTAGAAGGTTGAAATACAGAAGAGGTGAATTGGTATCTGTGACATTTGCCTGCTTCCCTTATTAACTTGATGTACTTCTTTATTACTAGTTCAAAGCTTAGATGCTAAGCATTAGTTGTAC